GCTGCCGCCTCTGCTTTCTTCACCGGCGGCGCCCTCCGAGGTGCGAGGGCCGCCGCGGGGTCCCGGGAGCTGCCGCCTCTGCTTTCTTCACCGGCAGCGTCCGCGGAAGAGGGCTGCGTTTCGGCGTTGCGAGTCTCCGAGAAAGCCCCAAATTCGGGTGAACTGTCCAGGTCCTTCCTTCATGGTTGAGAGAAAACACTGTCAGAGCTTACCCAGTTGATTGACCGACTTCGTAAAAACAAAACGATAAGCAGAGGTGAAAAATAACAATAACTTCAAAATCCCGAGGTAGAAACAGTGATGGGGATAGGCAGCAGCGCTGTTCCGTGACCCCGTCTCCGCCGCGGCGTCTCAGAACCCGCGTCCTCCCTCGCGGGCAGGCACCTGCAGAGCCCTAGCCCCGAGCCCGAGACCTCGCCCACTTTTTTTTTTTTTAGGTACTGGGAATTGAGCTCAGGACCTTGTGCTTGCCAGGCAGGCGCTTGTGCCACTGAGCTATATCCCCGGCCCCTCTCCCACTTTTTCCGATAAATAGGTGTCTCATTTATCACAGGGAAGAAAGTTACTCTATATCTTGAGGAAAAGATTTTAACAAGTGTAGCACTTTATGAGTTTATAAGGAAAATGTTACAAACGAAACACTGCTTATTGTTTATAATGAAAGGAAAACTCATAAGTCTTTTATCATTTTTCTCTCTTCATTTGGAACATTGGTAGAATTAATTTAAATAATCAACAGTTAAACTTATTTTGTGAAAATGATTTAAACAACATGTAGAATTTTTTTTTTTGTCTTTTTTTTTTTTTTTTTTTTTTGGTTTTTCTCCGGTACCGGGAACCGAACTTTTTTTTTGTCTTTTTGAGACCGGGTGTCACTATGCAGGTCAGGCTGGCCTTGAGCTCATTCTGTAGCCCAGGCTGGTCTCGAACTCAAAGATCTTCCTGCTTCAGCCTCCCGAGTGTCGGGATTACAGGCCTGTGCCCCGCCCTCCGTTGTTCTGTTTTTGAGATAGTCTCTCTCTATGTAGCCCAGACTGTCCTTGAACTCACTGGGTAGGCTAGGTTGGCTTTGAACTCGTGGCAACCTTCCTGCTTTAACCTCCCAGTGCGGGGACCACAAGCTTGCGCCACCACATCGAGCCTAAACAGATACATTGTTACTGTGTGAAAGGGTTGGGAACACAACAGACAAGTGAAGGTAAACTTCGAAGGAAACTGAGCCAGAGGTGTGGTATGAGGGCGAAAACTCTGGGCTGGGATTGGGAAACTCAAGTATTGTTCCTGGCACTGCCTCAAGTCTTAACACATCCAAAAAACAAAAACAAGAACAAAACACATCCAGACCTCAGGTTCTTCATCTATATACCAGGCTCATACTACGTTATCTTTAAGATCCCTTTCAGCTTTAAAATTTAGTCTGAGTCTAGCACTCTTCTATAGGATATGGTGTGTGTATGTGTGGGTTCACAGTTAAATTTAGGAATGGAAAATCATAATGAGTTATGCCTTTGATTGCCTTCTATTTATTTAGAGACAAGGTCTCACTATGTAGTTCAGGCTGTCCTTGAACTCTAGCCCAGGCTGGCCTCAAATTTGCAGTGATTCTCCTACCTCAGCCTCCTAAGTGCTGAGATAATAGGCATGTGCCACCATGCTTATATGGGTGTTTTGTTTGTTTTATTTTGTTGTTTTGGTGGTGATGATTAAATTCATGGTATGTTCTTTACCACTGAGCTATATCGCAAGCAATTTAATGTACTGTATTTTTTGTTTGTTTTTTGAGACAGGGTCTCAATGTGTACTTCAGACTGGCCTTGAACTCATTATGTAGCCTTGGCTGGCCTCAAACTTAAATGGGGTAGCAAGACACCCCATTCCAGCAGGAGCTCCTTAAGGATGTGGGTCCTGTTCCTCTTTGAATTTCTCAAACATACAGTGAGATCCTGGCTAACCTAATCAATTTAGGATGCTCGAATGCTCACCCTAGTGCTTTTTTTTTTTTTTTTTTTTTGAGACTGGGTCTTGCTATGTAGTTCAGGCTGGCCTGGACTCACTATGTACCCCAAACTGGCCTTGACCTCTTGGCAATCCTCCTGCCTCAGCCTCCCGAGTGCTGGGATTACAGGTGTGCGTCACCATGCCCGGATAGTGGTTTGTTTTTATTTATTTATTTATTTATTTATTTATTTATT